AATCTAGAATATACCCCAAAACCTCGCTTTGTTCATGAAGACCCTATAAAGCAAGAAAAGCAGATAAGCCCTATAGTAATCCCAAACCGAGGCCGCTATGAACACCTAGAAACCCCTATAATTACGTCCATTTTGAACCCCGATACTTCAGCCTTACACCCAAAGTCGAATCCGAGGCCTGTGTGGCAAGCAGAAACCCTAACCCCAAAACCCTAAACCCCTAAACCCCTAAACCCCTGAACCCTAAACCCCTAAACCCTAAACCCTGAACCCTGAACCCTGAACCCGAAACCGAGGCCTGTGTGGCAAGCAGAGGCCGGATCTCCATGCAGTGGGCCTTTGGTCGCCTCGCAGTGGCTACCCGCAGCTTGGCTGCAGGAGGCTTCAGGTTGCAGGGTTTAGGGTTCAGGGTCTTTAGGGTTTAGGGTTTAGGGTTTAGGGTTTAGGGTCTAGGGTTCAGGGTCTATAGGGTTTAGGGTTTAGGGTTTAGTGTTTAGGGTCTAGGGTTCAGGGTCTATAGGGTTTAGGGTTCAGGGTTTAGGGTTTAGGGTTTACCCCAAGGGTCCGTGTACCCAAATAGTAGACACATTGCCCCCAAAGCACTACTTTGGGACCAAAGTGTATACTATGTGGGTACATGGACCCTTAGGGTTAGGGTTGAGGCTTGGGCTAGGGCCTGTGTAGCATTGAATCTAAGGGCCTTAATAATTGTTAGCATAGGGGTTTGGGGGCTTCCTTATTATATTTATGGTATGATACACCCCCAAACCCTATTCTGATTATAATTAAGGCCCCTATATTAGACTTTTTAGGTTTTTGGGGCTTATAGTGGACAGATCAGGACATCTTGTCAGTTAGTGCCGTTTACGGTGTACCTCAAGAACCCTAAACCCTAAACCCTAAACCCTAAGCCCTAAACCCTAAACCCTAAACCGTGGTCGAGATGCTGACATGCGGATGCAAGAGCCGCACACCAGTTCAAGGGGCTGCGGGGCCTCGAATCTAGGTATGAAGCCACACTAAACCCTAAGCCGAAACCCTAAAGGCCCTAAAAACAGAATGCTTCGGAGGCCGCCAACTAGTGGGACGCTCCGTGGCCATCCATGCTGCCTGGATTGTTTATGATTCAGCAAACAGGGTCATGAGAGTAGTTATTGTTCGCCTGATGCCTTGGAGCTCACCCTCAGCGTTTTAGGTTTTAGGCGCTCAAGTAAACCCTAAACCCTAAACCCCTAAACCCCTAAACCCCTAAACCCTAAACCCCTGAACCCTAAACCCTAAACCCCCAAACTAAGTAGCCAATGACTGGTGTAATAAGTACTCCCTCAGTTCCCAACGTGCAGACAAAGGGCTTATTGCATCCTTTGGGCCCGACGTTTAGTGCAGGCAGGGGGTGCAGAGAGTTTACCCTAAGGGTCCAAGTACCTAATAATCATATACGCTTCTGAATACTAACCTACAAAACTACTATCCGTAACCCAAGTACATGATTATTAGGACCTTTGGACCCTTAGGGTTAGAGTTGCTGTTTTATCGGGATGGAGTGCGGGGCTAAGACTTTAAATAAATTTTAGACGGTGTAAGGCATTGGGTTAAGTCTAGTTCCAAGTGGTTCCGTCGAGACGACCCGAGCGGCTGCACGCGTAGCTTCCAATCCCTCGGGTGAGGCCCTAAACCCTAGCCCTAAACAAATCCTAAACCCTAAACCCTAAATCCTAAACCCTAAACCCTAAATCCTAAACCCTAAACCCTAAGCCCCAAACCAGACCAACTCGAAAGCTTGCACCCCAGGCAGAAACTCCGAGATCCAGGTCTGATCCCTAAACTCGCTTAGGGTTTTAGGGGTTTGGAGTTTAGGGTTTAGGGGTTTGGGGTTTGGGGTTTAGGGTTTAAAACACACAGACAAANNCCCCCATAAGTCATCATAAATCCAGCTACGTATAGTTCCTAAACCCTGAGCCCAAGCCGTACAAAGCGAAGCAACTGGTTCCTAAACCCTGAAGCAAACCTATAGCTCTTGAATTCTATACCTTGACTCTACCTGGTTCCTAAATCCTGAACCCCGAACCAATAGCTCTAGAAGTCTATCCCGCCAGTTCGTGAACCCTAAGCCGTAAACGAAAAAGTAGATCCTAAGCCCTTGAAAAGAATATAAAGTAAACCCTAAACCCTAAAAGGAACAAGTAAAAGCATTCCCTAAACCCGAAAAGAATAAAGTAACAAAGATAAAGTAAACCCCCAAACCCTAAAATAATCAAGTAACAAACATAAAGTAGACCCTAAACCCTAAGCCCTAGAAATCGGACTCCCCCGAGGCTTTCTTGAAGCTCCTGGCACGCGCCGCCGAACGGGCGGTCCGAGGCCGTTTGGGTTTCGGGGTTTTGGGCTTTAGGGGTTTAGGGGTTCAGGGGTTTAGTGTTTAGGCCTTTAGAGTTTATGGATTAGGGTTTAGGGTTTAGGATTTAGGGGCTTTGGGGGTTTAGGGTTTAGGCCTTTAGAGTTTATGGGTTTGGAGATTTAGGGTTTTGGGGTTGTAGGGCTTTAGGGTTCAGCGGTTTACCTGCAGCCGAAAAGACTTGCCTTTTGCTTAGGGTTCCTGATCATGGCTTCCATATATAGTTCCTTAGTAAGGTTGGTCTTTTGGGCCCCAGGGCTTTGGGGTTTAGGCCTTTAGACTTTAGGGGTTTGGGATTTCGGGTTTAGGGGTTGCAGGGTTAAGGATTTACGGCTTGGAGGTTTAGGATATTTGCGGGATGTTGCAGGGTTTGGAGTCCGGTTCTGCTGGAAGGCTCATGAGTTTTGACTTACATTTCAAGTTGGGTTTAGGGTGTGTGTTTTGCATTATGGTTTTTGATTTTGAGGCTTTTAAGATTTGATTTGAGGCCATCGGCTTGCAGGTGGTTTCAGGGGGTTCTCGTTTCAGTGCTTCGGACCTAGAGGCTGTTAGGGTTTCGGATTTGGGCAGGGGGTCATTCAGGAAACCCTAAACCAAAAACCCTAAGCCCTAAACCCTAAACCCTAAAGGCGATGGTCGTGTTGCTGTGACAGAGAAACTTCTTTTCAAAGATCCTCAGCTCCGAGCACCTCAACCCCAAAACCCCGAACCTTCCTTCAGGGTTTAGGGTTTAGGGTTTAGGGATTATAGGGTTTTGGGTTTAGGGTTTAGGTTTAGGTTTAGGGTTTAGGGTTCAGGGTTTAGTCTGGGACATTTTCAGGTGGGTAGTTACCGTTATAGGAGCCTTTTAAAAGGTCTATATACCTTATGGAAGCCTTATCGACGCCCAAAAAACCCTAAACTCCCCACCTGTGGTTTCCTTTAATTCAGGGTTTGGGGTTAAGCGACGTCCGCCCTGCCAACTTCAAACATCGTCAAACTAAGCCCCAGTCCTGCACCCTGAGCGTCCTTCAAGTAGTCCCTATTTGGGTACTTTGAGGCCAAAGTAGAAACTATTTGGGCACATGGACCCTCAACCCCTAAACCGTAAACCCCAAACCCCTAAACCCTTAAATCAAACTATAGGGGCATCTTATTAGAGCAAGTCTTCTCAGGTCACCTCTTTTCCTGGCAGCGTGCCGGGGTCCTCCGGACGAGGTGAAAGCTTCAGATCTCGGGAGGGGGGGGGCGGTGGAAGGTGGCGCTTTAGGGCTTTCGGCTTTAGTTTAGGGGCGGGCCACTGTTCAGGGCTTCTAGGGTTTAGGGGCTTACCAGGATTTTGGACTGAGGGTGCTTAGGGTTTAGGGTTTAGGGTTTAGGGTTCACTTCTGTCGCAAATGCGGAAGCCGGGTTGTTACGTAGGGCGTTGTTGACATCATAGTAAGGAACCCTCGACAGGAAGATTTTTTCATGGTTCATCGCACACCCTATACTATAGCGGCTGGGGTTCTCGACTTCATTCGGGTTTGAGGGTTCGGGAGCCTGCTTCCAGGGGTACCAAGCGCTCAGAAAAGCCGAATAACAAGCCTGCGAAGAGTGGGAAGATCCAAAAAACCTGAATTCCCTAATGAGGTTAGCAGCCCAGTAATGCCTAAAACCTAAACCCTAAACCCTAAACCCTAAACCCTAAACCCCTCTGCATAGCTACAGCTTACCCTGGGTAAGGGTTCCGCGAGGTCCAAGTACCCCTCCCCTCTATGCTGAAGTGCAGTTGCCATGATCTCAAACCCAGGTAGTATAGAAGCCTAAATAATTTACCCTAAACCCTAAACCCTAAACCCTAAACCCTAATTATGATGATTATAGCGCCTATGGTAGTTCACTATTAGGGAGAGGGACCCTCAGGGAGAAAGCCCTTAAACCCTAAACCAGACCAGGACCCCCCCCAAGGGCCCTTTGGTGGAGCCCTTATGGTTCGGAATAGTGCGTGTTTCGCGGTTTATTCGAGGGTAGTTGGGGGGTCTAGGTAGTCACCTTTTCGGGGGACAGGGAGCTCAGAAACCCGACTCAAGGCCCCGAACATTCAGACCTTGAAGTACGATGTTGATCCCCTCTGTGGGAGTATGGTTTAGGGTGCATAGGGATTATTTAGGGTTGTAGGGGTTTGGGGTTCAAGGTTCATGGTTCCGGATGTACTAAGGCTCTCTAGCTTCGGAGTTTAGTGTTTCTGCATGGGACCATATCTAGTGCAAAGGATGTTTATACAGGTATTCAGGCTTGTAACAGTCAAGAGTCTGTTATGTTCTTGAAATCAGAACCGCCTCAACTTTAGAAAGGTTGCTCGTATTCCTGATTTTGCACATGGGCATGGTCAATGGTCAGAGCTCTGCGCGGTTGATTGATGCCTCATTCACGATGACACTCTAGAAGCCTGTATACAACCCGATAAACCCCTACAAAGCCCGATCAGCACCTGATAAAACCCGTTCAACACGCTTCACAAATCCTTTAAAACCTGTACAAGCCACATGTTTCCCTACATGACATGAACCCTAAACCCTAAACCCTAAACCCTAAACCCTAAACCCCTACATGACATGAATCCCAACCAACCGGACTCATGAAGGCTTGCCGTGGACAAGCGTGGCTTTGCCCTGGCAGAGTGCTTCGGTTGCAGAAAGAGGTCTCTAAACTCTAGGTCCTAAACCTTGTAGACCTCAACCTTTGAACCCTCAACCCTCAACCCTAAACCCTAAACCCTAAACCCTAAACCCTAAACCCTGAATCTAAACAAAACTCCTCAGCCCCGATCCTGAAATATCGAAGCATTCATGGCCCGAGTGGCCCAGGCTCGCTGCTTCGGGTAGGATGCCCAAGCTGCTGAAGCGCGTGCTGCACACTTGGAAGGCCGGATGCATCGGGCTTTTAGGGTTTAGGGTTTTAGGGTTTTAGGGTTTTAGGGTTTAGGGTTTAGGGTTTAGGGTTTAGGTTTAGGGTTTTAGGGTCTAGGGTTTAGGGTTTAGGGCTTAGGGTTCGGGGCTTACTTGGAGGATCATGGGACTTAGTAAGTAGGGTTATAAGTCCTCTGATTGGGGTTCTAAGTATAGTTACCTTAGTTTTAACTAAGTCCCATGACCCTGTAAGTACCGAAAGTTTCCATTGTAGTTCTTGTTTCTGGTTACCCAAGAATTGAGCTACCCCCTCAAAGGAACCGCAATGGATACTGTAGGTAGGACACCTGTAGTAGGCTATCGGGTTGGTATCGACAGCCTAAGAAGAGAGACTTAGATCCGTGTAAACCCTAAACCCTAAACCCTAGATTTCGGAGGTTTTTGTTTTTAATCTTCTCATTGCCTCTGTGCTAAGTCCTCAGACCCTTGAAGTGCAGTGTGTATCACTGCCAGGCTCACCCTTGGCTAATATAGGGGGCTTAATAGTTAGAATAGGGTTTGGGGGTGTACTTACTCTATAAGTATATATATATATATATATATATATGCACAACAAGGAACCTCCAAAGCCCTATTCTAAATCATTAATGCCCCTATATTATCACCTTTCCGCCATGCTTTGGGTGGTAGTTGATGGTCGTTTCCACTGTTCGTCTCTGCACCGGCATTCTGACTGCCAATGTCTTGCTTGTGCTGCTATCGCAGTGGACTTGTGTTCTTGCTTTTCCTGGGAGTGATGCTTACATTGTCCGACATTGAGGCTGTAAGCATGAGGTCTGAGGTTCGTCCTGGGCGTTGACGAATGCTTGGATGTGATCCTTAGTCTAGTCAGTGGCAACTTGCAAGATTGTTGCTGTTGACAGAGTTTGCTTGGTAGAGCCCAGAATCTCAGCTTAGAAGTATGGACCCCTAATATGGACCCTGAGGCCTTTCTGGGGGCCCTTAAGGCTACATATCGGGTTATATAGTGGCTAAAGGGCCCATACTAGGGGCCCATGGTTTCAACTTTGGACAGAAAGGCCAGATTGCCTAGCAAGCCAGAAAGATAAGATATCCAAAAAACTCTACACGTGCGGCCATAAGCATGTTATATCGGGGCCTTAATAATTAGAATAGGGTTTTGGGGTCCATTATGCTATAAATGAAAACAAACAAGCGTGATAAGCCCGATAAGCCCCATGAGCCCTTAGCCCGAAAACCGAAACTCTAACCCCTGCCTGAATCCTTGAACCCGAAGCCCTGAAGCCCAAAACCCTGAATCCCTGAACCCTAAACCCTGAATCCCTAAACCCTAAACCTTTATAAACAGGATCATGGGACTTAGTAAGTAGGGTTATAACTAAAGTAACTTTTCCTATAACCCCAATTAAAGGACTTGTAACCCCACTTACTAAGTCCCATGATCCTTCAAGTAAGCCCCGAACCCTAAACCCTAAAC